GCGTGTACGACAGTGACGGCGAGAAGGTGCAGAGCATCGACGTGCCGCCGGGTTCCGTCGAGTGGCTCATCTGTCTGGACGGGCCGACGCTCGGGGGGAGCAACACCTTCCGCGTGCACAGCGGGCACGGGCCGGTGACGACGAACCCGGTGCGGTGGCGGAGCTTCAAGGTGACGACGCCCTCGGTGTGGGACCGGTTCGACATCCCGGTGTTCGAGGCGACGGACGGGACGATGCTTTTGCCCTTGTACGACCTCGACCAGGTGCTGGCGAACGGCGTGCCGTACAGCATCGGCGCGGAGCTGGAGGTCGCGGGCGGCCTGCTGGATGTGGACTCGGCGATCAGCTTCAAGGACGTGACGGGCTTCACCGAGAGCGACGAGCCCCTGTTGACCGACGCGTTCGTCGACATGCTTCCGGATTTCACGGGGCGCGTGGAAGTTGTGGATTTCGAGATCGCGTTGCCGGCGCCGTCGACGGCGTTGGTCCTGCTCGGGCTCGCCTGCGGTCGCCGGCGTCGCGAGCGGGGCGGTGCTCGCGCCTAGGTGTTCCGAAACGGGCTCCTGGCGGCCTCCTTACCGATTTCGGCCTGTTTCCCGGGGTTTTTTGTTCCCCCACCGGGCGATGGGGGGTAGGGTGAGAGGGTTCTCAGTGGAGGAGAGCCCATGGTGCGGATCGCTTGCGTATTGGCGTGTGTTTCGGTCGCGTCCCTGTCTTTCGCGGGCGATCTCGACCCGCCCGCAGGGCCCGTCTCACCCACGATGAAACCGCTCGACGAGGTGGAGCCGCGGATCGCCCTGAACGATGAGAACACGCCCGGCGCCGGGACGACGGGGTTCATCATCGCCGCGCCGGGCTCGTACTACCTGACGGAGAACCTCACGGGCCCCGTGTTGCGGCGCGGGATCGAGGTCCTGGCGGACCACGTGACGATCGACCTCAACGGGTTCACGATCTCGGCGGCGCCGGGCGGGACCGAGTCTCAGCGGCGCGGGATCGACGCGTTCAACTCCGACCACGTCACGGTCCGGAACGGGTCGATCGTCGGGTTCGCGGAAGAGGGGGTCTTTGTCCGGGACCATTCGCGCGTCGAGAATGTCTCGGTGGAAGGGTGCATCGGCACCGGGATCCGAGCGAGGAACGATTGCGTGGTGGTCGGGTGCGTCTCGATCAACAACGGCGGCAGCGGGATCAGCTGCGATGACAACAGCGTGATCCGGTCGTGCTCCGCGTCCTTCAACGGCTCGTCCGGCATCCGCGCCACCGACAACTCGGCGGTCGCCGGGTGCTCGTCGCTCAACAACGCGAATCACGGTTTCTTCCTCACGGGGAAGAATTCGGTTTCGGGGTGCGCGGCGACCGCGAACAGCGGCAGCGGTTTCACCCTCGGCGAGGGGAGCACGGTGACGAATTGCGCGGCGAGCGACAACATCGTTGTCGGGTTCTTCCTGGCGGAGGCGTGCACGCTCGAGAACTGCACGGCCTCCGAGAACGGGGTCGACGGTTTTAACACGATATTCAGCTCGGGTGTGGTCCTGCGCGGGTGCTCCGCGCTGGCGAACGGCGACGACGGCATCGAGCTGCGGGACGACGTGCTCATCGAGGGGTGCCTCGCCTCGGGCAACGCGGACGAGGGGATCCGCGTGCGGAACCGGAGCGTGGTGCGGGACTGCCTCCTTTCGAACAACACGGGCGCGGGCGTGGTCGTGACGGACGACTGCCAGGTGATCGGCAACACGGGCAGCGAGAACGGGGTCGGGCTCACGACGTCCGGCGCCGTGACGGTGAACGGCCTGGACAACCGCATCGAGGGCAACACGATGTCCGGCGGCGGGATCGGGTTCGATATCAACAACAACGGCAACCTGATCGTCCGCAACAGCGCGTCGGGGAACGCCACGAACTACAGCGTGCTCGGGATCAACTCCGTGGGCACGATCCAGTTCTCGCCGGTCGGCGCTGGGCCGTGGGATAACTTCTCGTTCTGACGATCGCGTTTTATTGCTCCGGGGGCACGGAGCTGACCATGAATCGAGTTCTTTGTTCGTGCGTCCTGGGGTGGTGGTTGTTCTCTGTCGCGCACGCGGGCGACCTCAACCCGCCTCCGGGCCCGGTCGCACCGACGCTCAAGACGCTCACGGAGGTCGAGCCGCGCACCGCGCTCTCGCAGGAGAACACGCCGGGGGACGCGACGGCGCGGTTCATCGTCACGCAGCCGGGCTCGTATTACCTGACCGAGAGCGTGACGACGTCGTTTAACGAATCGTGCGTCCGCGTGCTGGTGGGGAGCGTGACGATCGATCTCAACGGGTTCGTGATCGAGTGGGACGGCGACGGTGACGGGGCCCCGGTGGTGGGGATCGACGCGACGGGGCGGAGCAACCTGACGGTGCGCAACGGGGTGATCGCGGGTCTGATGGACGGGGTGATCGCGGGCGATCGGGCGGTGGTCGAGGGGCTCACGGTGTCGTCGAGCGACAACGCGGGGATCACGGTCGGCGACGGTTCGCACGTGCGCTCGTGCCTGGTGACGGGGAGCGGGGCCCGGGGGATCCACATGGGCGGCTCGAGCGTTGTTTCTTCGTGCCGTTCGATCGGGAACGTCTTCGCGGGGATCACGACGGGCGAGGGGTGCGTGGTGCGCGAGTGCGTGGCGGACGCGTCGGTCCTCAGCGCGGGGATGTTCATCGGGAACGACTCGCGGGTGATCGATTCGACGGCGAGCGGGAACGGCCTGTCCGGGATCGACGGGAACAACGCGACGGCGGTGAGCGGGTGCGTGGCGCGGGACAACGGGCGGGACGGGATCAACCTGAACGCGCAGTGCGTGGTCACGGGGTGCACCGCGTCGGACAATGTCTTCGACGGCATCGCGGCGGGCAACGGCTCGAGCGTGACGGGGTGCGCGTCCACGGGCAACGGCTCGGACGGGATCTCGCTCGTGCTGGGGTGCGTCGCGACGAGCTGCGCCGCGGCGTCGAACACCGAGCACGGGTTCCGCGCGGTGGGGAGCGCGGTGTTCGTCGACTGCGTGGCGCGGGGGAACACGATGAACGGGTTCGAGGCGGACGACGGCTCGTCCCTCCGCGGGTGCCTCGCGGACGGCAACGGCGGGTCCGGCATCGCGACGGGCGTCGGGGCCATGGTGGAGTCGTGCGCCGCGACGGGCAACGCGTCCGTGGGGATCAGCATCAGGGACAACTCCACGGCGCGGGGATGCCACGCGGACGCGAACGCGACGGGCGGGATCGCGTGCCGGGACCGGTGCCGCGTGGAGGGGAACACGGTGACGGGTTTGCTCGGCTCGGGGGGCAACGAGACGGGCATCTCGGTGATCGGGGATCAGAGCACGGTCGACGGGAACGTGGTGTCGGAGTTCTTCCGCGGGTACCGGGCGCTCTCGAATTTCAACGTGTTCACGAGGAACGTCTCGCGGGACAACACGTTCGCGTACGACGTCTCCGGTGTCGGGAACCAGGTGGGGACGGTCCGGGTCTCGCCGATCGGGGCGGGGGCGTGGGACAACTTCGAGTACTGATTGCTTTGGAGAGCACGATGATGCGCACGCTTTCAACGATCTGCTGTGTTTGCCTGGCGTCCCCGCTCGCCCTCGCCGGCGACCTGACCCCGCCTCCCGGGCCGGTGGCGCCGACGATGAAGACGCTCGACGAGGTGGAGCCTCGGGTCGCGATCACCCAGGAGAACACGCCGGGGGACGCGACGATCGTGTTCGTCATCGACGAGCCGGGCTCATACTACCTGGTCTCGGACGTGGACGTGCCGGCGGATATGACGGCGATCCAGGTGCTGGCGGACGACGTGAGCATCGACCTGAACGGGTTCACGGTCCGCAGCGCCGGCGGCTCGGTCGGGTTCGGGGGGATCGCGGCGGTCGGGCGATCGGGCGTGACGCTCCGCGAGGGCCGCGTCGTCGGGTTCCCGGGCTTCGGGGCCCGGCTGGGCGACCGGGCGCGGCTCGAGAACGTGAGCTTCTTTGGCAACGGTGGCGCGGGCGTGATCCTGGGCGGCGGCGCCTCGGTCGAATCGTGCGACGCGGAGCAGAACAACGGGTCGGGCTTCGAGATGGGCGCTCGCGCGCAGGTGCGCTGGTGCGCGGCGCGGTCGAACAACGGCTCGGGATTCGCGGCCGGGGACGACAGCCGCTTTGCGCACTGCGTCGCGCTGAGCAACGCCGCGGACGGCATCGGCGCGGGGTCGTCGTGCGCCGCGATCTCGTGCACCTCGAACGGCAACGGCGGTGACGGCATCGGCTTCCTGGAGAACGCGGTGGTGTCCGAGTGCGTGGTGGTTTCGAACACGGCGCACGGAATCGACGTGGAGATCGGTTCGTCGGTGCGGGCGTGCACGGCGCGATCGAACGGCTCGAGCGGTATTCACGCTTTCAGCGACAGCGCGGTGGACTCGTGCTCGGCGTTGGAGAACGCTCAGGAAGGGATATTCGCGGGGTACAACTCTTCCGTGATCGGGTGCTCGGCGCGTGCGAACATGCTCGTGGGTATCTCGGTGACCGAGGCGAGCACAGTCATGCACAACTCCTGCGCACTCAACGTCGTGGCGGGGATCCTCATGAACAGCGAGAACACCGTGATGGGCAACAGGTGCAATTCAAACGGCGACTTCACGGCGCAGACCGGCGCGGGGATCGTGATCTCGGGGTCGCGGAACCGGATCGATTCGAATTCGTGTTCTGGGAACATCACCGGCATCGCCTGCCCGGTTTTTTCCGGGAACACCATCGTCCGGAACACGTGCAACTCCAACCTGCTCGATGATTTCGACGTGACCGCCGCGAACGCCACGGGCACGATCCAGCTGAGCCCGGTGGGCGCCGGTGCGTGGGACAATTTCGAAGGCTGATCGGCTTTGAGCACCGTGTGACTCGCGGGCGGTGCTTGTTTTCGGCCTGAAACAGTGGGCTTTGAGGTCCCATCCGCGGGATGCCGGGGTACGTTGAAGGGGAACCCAGAGGAGGAGCGCCCATGGTCCGTGTCGTCAGTGTTGTGGTGTGTGCGTGCGTGGCCGGTGCGTCGATCGCCGGCGATCTGAACCCGCCGCCGGGCCCCGTCGCGCCGACGATGAAGACGCTCGAGGAGGTGGAGCCGCGGGTCGCGATCAACGCGGAGAACACGCCGGGCGGCGCGACGTTCGCGTTCGGGATCACCGAGCCGGGGTCGTACTACCTGACGGGGAACATCGACGCGATCGATGGCGAGACGGGCATCCGCATTTTCGTCTCGGACGTCGCGATCGATCTCAACGGGTTCACCGTCGCGTCGCCGGGGGGCAGCGGCACGCCGAACGGGATCGCGGCGCTCGGGTTCGACAACGTCACCATCCGGAACGGGACGGTCTCCGGGTTCGCCGGGAGCGGGATCATCATCAACGCGTTCGCACGCGTCGAGGGCGTCACCGTGCGCGGGTGCGGACTCGTCGGTGTGGGGCTCGGCGCGAACGCGATCGTCAGGGGGTGCGTCGCGACCGGGAACTCCGCGACCGGGATCCAGGTGAGTTCCGCGAGCGTGGTCGAATCCTGCATCGCCAACAGCAACCTCGGGAGCGGGTTCATCGCGGGTCTCGATTCCTCGCTCACCGGGTGTGTGGCGCGCCAGAACTTCGGCGACGGGTTCAGCGTCTCGACGGGCAGCTCGCTCGGCGCCTGCGCCTCGTACGACAACAGCGGGAACGGGTTCGACGTCTCCGGCGGGTCCACGCTCGTGGGGTGCTCCGCGGCGAGGAACACCCTCAACGGGTTCGACTTGAGCTCGGGCTCGACCGTCTCCGCGTGCTCCTCGTTCGACAACAACGACTCCGGCATCGCGACGGGCACGGGGTGCACCGTCGAGGGGTGCACGAGCACGGACAACGGCGAGTGGGGCCTCTTCCTCGCGTCGGGCTGCCGCGTGCGGGACAACACGGTGGTCTCGAACCCCAGCGGCGGGATCCGGGTCTCGAGCGACAGCCTCGTCACGGGCAACATGTGCGACCAGAACGGGAGTATCAGCGGGACGGCCGCGATCGACGTGGTGGGCACCGACAACACGATCGACGGGAACACGGTGACGGACAGCATCATCGGGCTCTCGGTGTCCGTCGGCGGGAACCTGATCACCCGGAACCGCGCCTCGGGGAACGGCGGGGATTACGCGGTCGTCGGCGGGAACGACCTGGGGACGATCCGCACGACGCCGATCGGGGCGGGTGCGTGGGACAATTTCTCGTACTGAGTGTCCTGCGTCGCGCGGGGCGTGACGGCTCCGAGAACCGCGGATTCTCCGTGCGTCCTTCGTTTTCGGGCCGAAATCACCGGATTTTGTGTTCTCTCGGGGGGATGCGGGGGTACGTTGAACGGGAACTCAGAGGAGGAGCGCCCATGGTCCGTGTCGTCAGTGTTGTGGTGTGTGCGTGCGTGGTCGGGTCGGCGGTCGCGGGGGATCTGGACCCGCCCCCCGGGCCGGTGGTCCCGACGATGAAGACGCTCGACGAGGTCGAGGCGCGGACGGCGATCACGGCGCAGAACACGCCGGGGAACGCGGTGGTGATGTTCATCATCGACGAGCCGGGGTCGTACTACCTCACGGGCGATACGAGCGTGCCGGTGAACATCGGCGGGATCGAGGTCCGGTCGTCGAACGTGACGATCGACCTCAACGGGTTCTCGCTGGCGAGCGGCGGCGGGAACAACGGGATCACGGGGATCGAGGGGATCGGCCAGGACAACGTGACGATCCGGAACGGGAACGTGCTGGGCTTCCCGGGCGTCGGGATCCGCGTGGGCAACCGAGGCCGGCTCGATTCCGTGAACGTCTCGGGCAACGGGGACGACGGGGCGGTGCTGGCGAATTCTTCGGTGATCATCCACTGCGTCGCGGAGCAGAACGGGAGCACGGGGTTCGAGCTCGCGGCGTTCGGGCAGGTGTCGAACTGCTACAGCGCGGCGAACGCGGTGAACGGCTACAACGCGGGCGCCCGGTCGCTGTTTGTGGACAGCGTGGCGCGGCAGAACGGCAACGACGGGTTCCAGGTGCTGGACGAGGCGAAGCTGACGGGGTGCGCGGCGTACGGGAACTTCGCGAGCGGGTTCGCGCTGGGATTCAACGCCTCGGTGACGAGCTGCGCGGCGGAGTCGAACCTGGGCGACGGCATCCGGGCCGAGGGCGGGGCGGTGATCTCCGGCTGCACGTCGAACGACAACACAGCGCACGGGTTTAGCATGGGGTCTGACTCGCACGCGACCGCGTGCCTCGCGCAGCTCAACGACGGCTCGGGCTTCACCGCGGGGAACTCGGCGTTCATCAAGGATTGCTCTTCGGTGTCGAACGGGGAGGTCGGGTTCGACGTCGGTTTCTTTGCGCACCTCGAATCGTGCTCCGCGACGCGGAGCACGGGGCGCGGGTTCAACGCGCTGAGCAACGCCACGATCGAGCGCTGCACGGCGATCGAGAACCGGGGCGGCGGGGTGGTCGCGACGGCGAGCGCGACCGTGCGCGGGTGCTCGCTGAAGTCCAACGCGCTGCACGGGGTGTCGGTGCAGACGGAATCGGTGGTGATGGGGAACTACAGCGTCAACAACGGCGCGTTCGCGACGACGGGCGCGGGGATCTTCGTGAGCGGGAACGACAACTTCGTCCGCGACAACGTCGTGAGCGACAACGACGTGGGGATCGACGTGAACGGGACGCAGAACCAGATCGCGGGCAACGCCGCGCAGGGGAACAACTTCGGGAACTACACCATCGTCGCGGGGAACAGCGTGGGGACGATCGGCGTGGGGCTGACGAACCCGCTGAACAACACGGAGTTCTGAGCGGGATTCCTCGCCGAGAGGCCCGTTTTCGGGTCTTTTCCCTCCCTCTTTCCCGGGGCCCGTGCTAGGTTTGTGGCGGTTCTTGTGAAGGAGAGAGACCGCCATGATGTCCAGATTCGTGTTGTCGTGTTGCGCCGCGTTGGCGGTTTCCGGTCCGTCGCTCGCCGGCGACCTCGACCCTCCCCCCGGCCCGGTGGCGCCGACGATGAAGACGCTGACGGACGTCGAGCCGCGGACGGCGATCAACGCCGAGAACACGCCCGGCAACGCGACGACGGCGTTCATCATCTCGACGCCCGGCTCGTACTACCTCACAGAGAACCTGAGCGTGCCCTCGGGCACCACGGGGATCCTCGTGACGACGGACGACGTGACGATCGACCTGATGGGGTTCACGATCTCGAGCTCGTTCGGCGGCGCGTCGGCGGACGGGATCAACGCGGACAACCGCGACCGAATCCACATCCGCAACGGGCGGGTGCGTATCTTCACCGATGACGGCGTGGTGGTGCAGGACGAGGCCCGGCTCGAGAACCTCGACGTGACGAACTGCCAGGGGGACGGGTTCAGCACGGGGAGCAGCTCGATCGTCTCGGACTGCACCGCGGTGAGCAACACCGGGCGCGGGTTCGTGTTCATCAACCGGTGCGTGGTGGAGCGGTGCACGGCGCGCTCGAACGGGAGCACGGGCTTCGCGCAGACGTCCGGGTGTATCCTGCGTGACTGCCTGACGAACCTGAACGGCGGCCCGGGGTACACCTCCGGCGCGGACGCGATGTACGAGCGGTGCCAGTCGATCAACGACACGGGCGCGGGGTTCTTCGGGACGAGCGACGCGACACTCACCGACTGCGTCGCCGAATCGGCGGGCACCATCGGGTTCGACTTCGACGATCGTCTCGCGGCGAGGGGGTGCCGCGCGGTGGGGAACGACGGCGACGGCTTCGTCGCCGGTCAGGACGCGTCGTTCGTCGGGTGCGTCTCGTCGAACAACGGTCTCGGGTTCAGCGTGGGCAATTACGCGACGATCGATCGGTGCGCCGCGTACGACAATCTCTCCACCGGGGTCAGCGCGACCGGCTTGGGGGGCGTGTTCCGCGACAGCGTCTTCAACAACAACGGGTCGAGCGGCATCTTCTCGAACACGCTCGGCACCGTCACCGGGTGCTACGCGGAGGGGAACGGGTCCAACGGCTTCGAGGTCCGCTCGGGGGCGGTGGTCCGGGGCTGCTCGGCGGTCGGCAACGGGTTCACGGGGATCAGCGCGCAGTCGGGGTGCACCATCGATAACTGCACGTCCCGCTCGAACGATGGCGGCGGCATCAGCTGCGGGAACGACTGCCGCGTCTTCAACAACCATTGCCTGAGCAACACGAGTGCGGGCGCCGCCGCCGAGGGCATCAGGGCGGGCAGCGACTGCCGCATCGACAGCAACAGCTGCCATGGGAACGACATCGGGTTCGATATCAACGGCACCGGGAACATAGTCGTTCGAAACACCGCGCGTTCGAACGCGACGGACTACTCGATCGTGGGCGGGAACGACGTGGGGACCATCCAGCTCACGCCCGTCGGCGCCGGGGCGTGGGACAATTTCGTGCACTGACGCCGTCGAGTTGAGGAGGCGACCCCCATGATCCGAGCCGCGATTCTCTGCGCTGCGGCGCTCTCGTCATCCGCCCTCGCGGGCGATCTCGATCCGCCCCCGGGCCCCGTCGCGCCGAGCATGAAGACGCTGGATGAAGTCGAGCCGCGCACGCCGATCAGCCAGGAGACCGCGCCGGGCGACGCGCTGGCGCTGCACGTGATCACGGAATCGGGCTCGTACGTGCTGGGCGGCGACACGGAGGTGACGGGCGACCGCACGGGGATCCGGATCGAGGCGGAGAACGTGACGATCGACCTGAACGGTTTCACGCTCAGCGCCGGCATCGGCGCGTCGTCGGGCGACGGGATCAACGGCATCGGCGGGTCGTTCACGGTCGTGCGGAACGGGCGGATCGTCGGGTTCCCGGGCGACGGGGTTTCGCTCGGGTTCTCGTGCGTGGCCGAGGGGGTGGGCGTGGTGTTCTGCGGGGGGACGGGGATCCTGACCGCGTCCAACGCGCAGCTGCGGGATTGCGTCGCGTCGAACAACGGGTTCCGCGGGATCAACGCGGACGTGAACGCGCTGATCTCCGGGTGCTCCGCGAACGGGAACGGGGATATCGGGATCACGGCGTCGTTCGTCGCGAATGTCTCGGGGTGCGTCGCGAGCGACAACGCGTCCAACGGGTTCACGGTGGTGTCGGGCGCGATCCGCGGGTGCGCGGCGAACGACAACGGCGAGGCGGGGTTCTCGACGAACACGGACACGCTGATCGAGTCGTGCCTCGCGACGGACAACGCGTCGGACGGCATCGTCGTGCAGAGCGATGCGCTCGTGCGCGACTGCTCGGTGACGGGCAACGGGTTTTACGGCATCCGCGTCCTGGGCACGGGCAATACGATCCGCGAGAACCGTCTTTCGCGCAACGGGTTCCGCCCGGGGCCGGAGAGCGACTACGGCGCGATCTTCGTCACGTCGTTCACGCCCATGGACCCGACGGACAACACGATCGACGGCAACGCGTGCGCGGGCGACATGCGCGGGATCGTGGTGGGCACGCCGGGGAACACCGTGACGCGGAATGCCGTGCGCAACGCGACGGTGAACGCCTACGAGATCGCGCCGTCGAACGACGCGGCCCCTGTGACCGACACGTTCACCGGCGCGGGGCCGTGGCACAATTTCGGGTTCTGAGGCGAATTCTCGCCCCATGAGGCGGATATCGACGGAAAAAAGGCCCGATTTCGGGGCGGTGTGCTAGGTTGGGGCGTGGTTCAAAGAGAAGAAGGAGAGGGACCATGAACAGAGGTATTTCTGCGCTCGCGTGCGCCGTGTTGCTGTGCGTTGTGCCCGTTGCGGCGGGCGGTGACCTCGACCCGCCCCCGGGCCCCGTCGCGCCGACGCTCAAGCCGCTCGACGAGGTCGAGCCGCGGACGGCGATCAACGACGAGAACACCCCCGGTGCCGGCACGTTCCAGTTCGTGATCCGCGACCCCGGCTCGTACTACCTGGCATCGGACGTCACGACCGACCTGCTCAAGGGCGGGATCGAGGTGCAGGCCAACGATGTCACGATCGATCTCAACGGTTTCACGATGCGCTTCGGCGGCGGGGCGATCGGCGTCGGCTTCGGCATCGAAGCGAGCGGGCGGGACAACATCACCGTCCGCAACGGGACGCTCGATGGGTTCCTCCTCGCCTGCGTGAGGTGCGGGGACCGGGCGCTGATCGAGGGGGTGCGCGCGATCGATGGGCAGTCCGGCGGCATCCGCGTCGATGCCAATTCGCTCGTGCGCTCGTGCGTCGTCACGTCCTGCGCGGGCGACGGCATCGCGACCGGTGAGGACTCGATCGTCGAATCGTGTACCGTCTCGCTGAGCGGGGGCAACGGCATCGTAATCGGAGCCCGGTCACGCGTCGATGGGTGCACCTCGTACAAGAATAGCGCGACCGGCATCTTCGCGGGTCAAGCCTGCGTGGTGAGCGGGTGCATCGCGGATACGAACACGCTGGACGGTATCGACGTGTCCAGCGGGAGCACCGTGTCGAACTGCACGGCCACGGGCAACACGGAGTCGGGCATCAGTACAGGCCAGGGATCGGTCATCACCGGCTGCGGCGCCAACACGAACGGGCTGAACGGGATCTTCGCCTCTCCCGGGTGCGCCGTATCGCACTGCACCGCCACCGGAAACACGCTGCACGGCATCGCCGGCGTGAGCACCGGCACGGTCGAGTCCTGCTTCGCAGAGGCGAACGGCGGATCCGGGTTTAACCTCTTCAACGACGTGACGGTGACCAATTCCACTGGGGCTTCGAACGGCGCGCGTGGGTTCCGTTTGAATCTTCGATTCAGCATCGTCGGGTGCGCCGCCACGTCGAACGGGCTGAGCGGAATCGACGCCGCGGGCAACGGCCTGATCGCGGATTGCACCGCGGTCGGCAACGGGGAGAACGGCATTGAGGCTTCGGCCACGCGGATCGAGCGGTGTTTGGCGTCTGGAAACACGATGGCGGGCATCGTTGCCGGGGGTGGCAGCACCGTGGTCGGGAATTCCTGCGGGGATCACGGGCAGGGCGGCATCGGCATCCTCTGCGGCTCGAACACGGTGATCGACGGCAACACCGTGCATGACAACGATGTCGGCATCTCTGCCGGAATCAACGATTCGAACCTGATCGTGCGGAACAGGGCGAACGGCAACATCGTGGATTACGACATCGCGGTGGGCAACGACGTCGGCACCATCCGGACCACGCCCGTCGGCGCCGGCCCGTGGGACAATTTCGACTTCTGAATCAATCGAGGAAAGAACCTTGAAAGTCGTACTTACATCAATCGCTCTTTTCGCCTCCGCCGCCCTCGCCGGCGATCTTAACCCCCCCCCGGGCCCCGTCGCGCCGACGCTCAAGCCGCTCGACGAGGTCGAGCCGCGGACGGCAATCAACGCTGAGAACACCCCCGGTACCGGGCAGTTCCAGTTTGTCATCGACCGGCCCGGCTCGTACTACCTCACCGAGGACCGCACCACCGACGTCCTGAAAGGCGGGATCGAGGTCCGTGTCGATGGCGTCACGATCGACCTCAACGGCTACAGCCTTCGCTTCGGGGGCGGCGCGATCGGCGTCGCGCAAGGCGTCGCCGCCATCGGCCGGGACGACCTCACGGTCCGGAACGGGACGCTCGACGGGTTCCTGTTCAACGGCGTCGAAGCGGGGGCACGCGCACTTGTCGAAGACGTCCGCGCCGTGAACAACGGGGGCGACGGGTTCTGCGTCGGAGACTCGTCGGTGTTCCGTCGATGCATGTCGAACGGCAACGGCGATGACGGAATCGTGATCCAGGGCACGGGCGTCCTGGTCGAGTGCGTCGCGAACGACAACGGCGGTCAGGGCGTATTCGCCTCCGGAGGCTCGGCGGTGACGAACTGCATCACGGAAGGCAACACCAGCACCGGGCTCTCGGTGGGGTCGGGCAGTTCGGTCTCCGGGTGCTCCTCGACGAACAACAGCGGCGTCGGGATCTTTATCGGGAACGGTACAAGCATCACCGCGACTTCGAGCCTCAACAACAATCTGACAGGGATCTCCGGGGGCGACGGGTGCTCCGTGAGCAACTGCTCCGCGACCTCGAACGGCAGCTCGGGCATCTCCGTCAATTCCAACGCGATGATTTCGCACTGCAGCGCATCGGGGAACCAGAATCACGGCATCCGGGTGATCAATAACAGCGTCATCACCGAGAATATCTGCGCCGAGAATACGAACGGCACCTCCACCGGCGCCGGGATCGTCGTCGTGGGCCAGGGCAACAGGATCGAGTTCAACACCGCCAGGTCGAACGATTTCGGTATCGACGTCAACGGCCCGAGGAACATCATCATCTCGAACAGGCTCTCCGATAACGCCACGATGAATCTCTCCGTTGTCGCGAACAACGTCGTCGGCTCCCTCACCAGTACCGCATCGACCGCGGGACCGTTGGACAATTTTATCTATTGACGAAGCAGACCCCCCGGGGTTCTCACGGAGCGCACGATGAATCGATTCAACACCCTACTGATCACCCTGACAGCAGCCTCGTCGATGGCCCTCGCCGGCGACCTCGACCCGCCCCCGGGCCCGGTGGCGCCGACGATGAAGGCGCTCGACGTCGTCGAGCCGCGAATCGCCGTGAACGACGAGAACACGCCGGGCGACGGCCTCGCGGTCTTCCGCATCACCGAGCCGGGCTCGTACTACCTCACGGCCAACGTCCAGGGCGTGATGGGGCGCCACGGGATCGTGATCGAGTCGCACAACGTCACGCTCGACCTCAACGGCTTCGGCCTCATCGGCGAGCCGGGCACGATGGACGGGATCCGCATGGAGCCCCCGTCACTCAACGGCCCGTACCGCTGCTCGGTCTTTAACGGTTCGATCGACTCGTGGGACGGGTATGGGGTCTACGGGTTCTTCGCCTTCGGCGCGCAATTCCGAGACCTGCGCATCGCCGGATGCGGCGAGCACGGGATCTTCACCGCCTCCGGATCGACGCTCACCCGGGTCACGTCATTCGAGAACGCTTCGGGGGGCTTCTTCACCAACGGAATCGCCACGTTCCGCGATTGCGCCGCGTCGGAAAACAGCGGGCCCGGGTTCGAGTGCCAGGGAACGCTCGTCGGATGCACCGCCTTCAACAACATCGGCCCCGGCTTCCAGTTGAAACAGGCGACCGCGACCGGGTGCAGCTCTGTCGTGAACACCGGGGCCGGTTTCGAGACGACCTTCGAGGCCGTGACCATGACCGATTGCTACGCGACTCTGAACGGCACGTCGGGCTTCGTGCTGGTCGCGGGCGGTCTCGTGCGGGGTTGTGTCTCGGAGCGAAACGCCGTGGACGGATTCGTTGCAGCCGAGGAGTGCACGCTGATCGAGTGTCAGGCGAACACGCATCCCGACGACGGTTTCCAGATCGGCAGGAACTGCGTCGTCGAGCGGTGCGTGTCCCGCGCGAACGCCTACGGGTTCTACACCGACAACCAGGACGACCAGACCGTCCGCGAGTGCTCGGCCTACGGCAACTCGAATTCCGGTTTCTTTGTGACCGGGCAGGGCGCCCTGCTCGTGAAAAACCACGCCAATGGCAACGGCACGGACTTCGACATCACCGGTTCAACCCGGTACGGCCCGATCGTCACCGCGCCCGGTCTGATCGCGAGCGAGCACCCCCAGGCGAACTTCGCGTCGAACGAGCCGGTGATCACCGGAGCGATCGGAAAGGCGAAGGCGGGTCGGCGCTAAGACGCACGCGGTACCCCTTCCGAAAGGACACGGTATGAACAAGACGCTCACGCTCTGCGCCCTGCTCGCCGCGGCCCCCGCGCTCGCCGGCGACCTGAACCCCCCACCCGGCCCCGTCGCCGAAACCATGAAAACGCTCACGGAAGTCGAGCCGCGCACCGCGATCAACCAGCAGAACACGCCCGGGAACGCGGGCGCCGTCTTCGTGATCAGCGAACCCGGCTCGTACTACCTGACCGGCAACGTCTTGGCCGGTCCCGGGCAGTCGGGCATCACGGTCACGGCCGACTCGGACGTGACGATCGACCTGAGCGGCTTCACGATCGTCGGCAACGCCGGGGGCGTCGCGCGCGACGGCATCGCGGCCGAGGACGCGAACAACGTGACGGTGCGCAACGGGACCGTGATCAAGTTCGGCGAGGACGGTGTTCACCTCGGCGACAACGCGCGGGTGGTGGACGTGTCGGTCCGATCGTGCATCGACGACGGTATCCGCGTCGGCTTCCACGGCACGCTGATCGGGTGCAAAGCGGATTCGAATGGGAGAGTCGGGATCTCGCTGCTCATCTTCGGCAGCGCGACGTCGTGTTCGGCGTCGTCGTGCAGTACCGGGTTTAGTACAAGCTCGGCCGCGACGCTGACGGACTGTGTCTCGGCCGACAACAGCGTGTTCGGCTTCTCCCTCGGTTTCGACGCGTCGCTCTCGGGATGCGTCGCCCGGAACAACGACGGGATGGGCATCGCGGCCGGGCAGAGAAGTTCGCTCGAAAACTGCACGTCGGTCTTCAACGGGTCCATCGGGATCCAGGCCCTCCTCGGATCGACGGTCACGAACTCCACGTCCGGCAACAACGGGAACGACGGGTTCCAGATCGATCAGGGGAGTTCAGTGATCGGGTGCTCGGCGACCAGCAACGATGGGTACGGCATCAACGCGTTCGCTGGATGTGTCGTCACCTCGTGCTCGTGCCTCTTCAACGACCTGGGCGGGATCCGGGCATTCGCCGGCTGCACGATCACGAACAACGCCTGCTCAAGAAACAGCGCACACGGCATCGAGGTCACCTCGACGGGCAACACGGTCTCCGGGAACACCTGCGAGGACAACGGCTCGCTCGGAGCCGGCACCGGCACCGGCATCCTCGTCACCGACGCGGAGAACCGCATCGACGGCAACACCGTCACGGACAACGTCGACCGCGGCATCGCGGTCACCGCGTCGGGCAATCTCGTCGTCCGCAACAGCGCCGCGGGCAACGCGACGGACTACGACATCGCCGCCGGCAACGACGTCGGCACGATCCAGGCGTCGCCCGTGGGCGCCGGGGCGTGGGACAACTTTAGTTTCTGAACCGCGCACCGATCCGGGGCCTGAAGGAGAACGACATGAAACGTATCGCCCCGATGTGTCTCGCGCTGCTGATCTGCACCCCGTGCGCCCTCGCCGGCGACCTCGACCCGCCCCCGGGCCCCGTGGCGCCGAGTTTGAAGACGCTCGTCGAGGTCGAGCCGCGCACCGCCATCAATCAGAAGAACACGCCGGGCACCGGGCAGTTCCAATTCGTGATCAACGAGCCGGGCTCGTACTACCTGACCTCGGACGTCACCACCGACCTCCTCAAGGGCGGGATCGAGGTGCGCTCGGTGGACGTCACCATCGACCTCAACGGCTACACGATGCGCTTCGGCGGCGGCGCGATCGGCATCGGGCACGGCGTCTTCGCCGAGGGGATGGACGACCTCACCGTCCGCAACGGGACGCTGGCTGGCTTTTTGCTCACCGGGATCACCGCGCGGCATCGGGCCCGCGTCGAGGACGTCACGGCGCTCGGGTGCGACGCCGACGGGTTCTTCCTCGGCAACGAGGCCACGCTCGTCCGCTGCGTCGCGGTCTCCAACGGGGGACTCGGCATCCGCGTGGGGGACGCCGGCAGCCTCGCCGCGTGCCAGGCCGTCCTCAACGACTCCACCGGCTTCGTCGGCGCCAACCGCATCGCCCTCGACGGCTGCGTCTCGCGGAGCAACGGCGGGCTCGGGTACGCCCTCGGCTCCGCGAACACGCTGACCGGGTGCGTCGCGGTCTCCAACGGGGGCAACGGTTTCCAGTCCTTCGCCGCGAGCACGTACCGGGATTGCACGTCGAACGGGAACGACGCCAACGGGTTCCTGATGACCGAGTCCTCGTCGGCGCACGGGTGCACCGCGCGCCTCAACGACGCCAACGGTTTCGTGCTCAGCCGCGGGTGCGTCCTTACCGGGAGTTCGGGTCATGAGAACACGCTCAACGGCGCCCAGTTCGGCAGCGACGGCGTGGTCGAATCCTCGGTGTTCACCTTGAACAGCGAATCCGGGATCGCCGTCGGCTCAGGATGCACGATCCGGAATAACACCTGCAACCACAACGGCGAAGACGGCATCCTCGCCGCCGCCGAGAATCTGGTCGTCGGCAACCTGTGCTCCAGCAACGTGAACGGTGTCCGCATCTCCAATTTCGACAACCGAGTCGATCACAACACGGTCACCAACAACACCGTCACCGGGATCCTGGTCCAATTCGGCGGGAACCTCATCGTCCGCAACGCCTCGAGCGGCAACCTCTCCGGGTTCAACGTCGCCGCGGGTAACGATCTGGGCGCGGTGGTCTCGTCGCCCGTCGGCGCCGGGGCGTGGGACAATTTCAATTACTGAGCGGGTCCGAGAACCGTTCACCCCCGAGTGTTCGGCCAGCCGGGCTCAAAAAACGGCGGGGAACGGGGTTCACATCCCCTCATCGGGCGGCTACTTTGGCGTACCTACATGAGGAGGAGGAACCCCGTGATGAACCGATTGACTGCCGCTGTGTGTCTCGCTCTGGTCTCGCCGTCCGTCGCGCTGGCCGGCGACCTGAACCCGCCCCCGGGCCCCGTCGCGCCGAGCATGAAACCGCTCGACACGATCGAGCCGCGCACCGCGATGAGCCAGGAGAATACGCCCGGCAACGCGACGACGGCGTTCATCATCTCGACGCCCGGCTCGTACTACCTCACAGAGAACCTGAGCGTGCCCTCGGGCGTGACGGGGATCCTCGTGACGACGGACGACGTGACGATCGACCTGATGGGGTTCACGATCTCCAGCTCGTTCGGCGGCGCGTCGGCGGACGGGATCAACGCGGATAACAGGGACCGGATCCACATCCGCAACGGGCGGGTCCGGATCTTCACCGACGACGGGATCGTGACGCAGGACGAGGCGCGGCTCGAGAACCTCGACGTAACGAATTGCCAGGGGGACGGGATCAACACGGGGAGCAGCTCGACGATTTCGAATTGCACGTCGGTGAGCAACACCGGGCGAGGCTTCGTGATGCTGAACCGCTGCATCGTCGAGCGCTGCACCGCGCGGTTCAACGGGAGCACGGGCTTCGCGCAGACCTCCGGGTGTTTGCTCACGGGCTGCGTGACGAACGCGAACGTCGGCTCGGGGTTCACCTCCGGTGCGGACGCGACGTACACGGGGTGCCAGTCGATCAACGACGGCGGCACGGGGTTCTTTGGATCGGACGACGCGACGCTCACGAACTGCGTCGCGGAATCGGCCGGGACGATCGGCTTCGATTTCGATGACCGGCTCACGATGACGGGCTGCCGGGCGACGGACAACGCGGAGCGGGGCATCAGCGCGGCGAACGACGCGACGGTGCGCGGGTGCGTCTCCTCCGGCAACGGGCAGGGCGGCATCGAACTGGTCGCCGGCGGGTCCGTGGTCGGGTGCACCGTTGATGGCAACGGGCGCGGGATCTTCGTCTCCACCGAGATCCTCATCAGCGGGTGCGCCGTGTCGGGGAACGCGGGCGTCGGGATCAGGGTCTTCGAGGGGTGCACCGTGATCGACAACCTGATCAACGGCAACGACGATGACGGGATCTGGTGCGCCAGCAGAAATCTCATCCGCGGGAATACGTGCCGCGACAACGGAAACAATGACGGCTCGTTCGCGGGCATGCAGATCATCGGCAACGCGAACCGTGTGGAGGGCAACCACCTGGTCCTGAATCCGCGCGGCATCACGATGGCAAACGGAGCGCGGAAGAACATCATCGTCCGGAACAGCACGGTCGACAACGATTTCACCAACACCATCGTTCCGGACAACGAGGTGGCGCCGTTCGTGGGCTCGCCGGTCGGGGCGGGGCCGTGGGACAACTTCAACAGGCTGCTGGGGTCGTGAGGGGCTGAACTCGGTTTCGGCGAGCCCACAACCGCCCCCGCTCCCACGGGTACTATTGGTCTCAGCCGAGACCCCCCACCCACCACGGGAGCCCCCCATGCCCGATCCGCTCGAATCGCAGTCCGCCCACATCCCCGCCGACCCCGAGGCCGCCGTCCGCGAGGTCCGTGCGGCCCACGACCGGCTCCGCGCCGAGATCGCCAAGGTCGTCGTCGGGCAGGACGACGTCGTCGAGCAGATCCTTAACTGCATGTTCTGCAACGGGCACGCGCTCGTCGTGGGCGTCCCCGGGCTCGCCAAGACGCTGCTGATCTCGACGATCGCGAAGTCCGTCTCGCTCGGGTTCTCGCGGATCCAGTTCACGCCGGACCTGATGCCGAGCGACATCACGGGCACGGAGGTGATCGAGGAGGACAAGACGACGGGCAACCGCGAGATGCGGTTCGTGAAGGGGCCGATCTTCGCGAACGTGATCCTCGCCGACGAGATCAACCGCACGCCGCC